GACGATTTTTCGTCCAAACTGGACCTCGATATCTTTCTTTGTTCAAGAGATATCGAGGGTCACAGGTTTTGACTTCTACCCCCCCTAGCTCCCTCCCAAAATTTTTTGGGAGTCTGAAAATTTGGGAGAAGAAGCGCTCAAGTATGAGTAATCAATAGACAAAGTCTGAAGAACTTCCAGAGGGGGGGCGAAAAAAGCCGTTTTTGCATCAAGCTCTTTATAGTTGTATCAACCCAGAACTTAGGCCAATTTTTTTTTCTTCTTTTTTTGAGCTCAGAGAAGAGCTGTCCCGATGGATGAATGTTATGGGTGATTTTTTTGAAATTTGCCTTTCTATCCAAAATGATTCTTATGTACAAGGGTCGTTCAGAAAGTAAGTTTCCCTATTTTTTTTCTAGAGTAGTATAAAAGCTACAAAAATGGTAAATATATGACTGAAGAGCTTATACTCTCAGCTTTCTAACAGTTTATCGATTTTTGTTTTTTGACCAACCAATCACTCAGAAATTGCATTTTTCCGCGACCACCTCGAAGAATTTCCCGCCACCTCCGAGGTGCATGAGAATTGCATTGAAAAACAAAGTAAAAAGGACCACGAGCAAAATTCTAAAAATTATTAAGCATAGCTCAAACCTTTCAGCTTTTTTGACGTAATTTTCTCTCACTGTGATACATTTTTCACACCTTGGTATCAGTTTCCTGATGCCTTCACGGTAGAAGTCCTTCGGCTGTTGTTTGAAAAATCCCAGGACAGTTTCTTGGAGTTCCTCATCTGTGTCGAGCCTGACACCACCTAGGAACTTCTTCAGAGCTGGGAAAAGATGGTAGTCACTAGGAGCTAGGTCAGGACTATACGGTGGATGAGGAAGGCAAGTCCAACCGAACTTTTCGATTAACTCAACAGTATCGGCCGCTGTATGTGGTCGCGCAGTAGCGTGGAGCAAAAGCACTCCTTGGGTAAGCTTGCCCCACCAACGGTTCTGTATGGCTCTTCTCAGCTTTGTGAGGGTTTCTTTGTACGGTATTGCGTTAATGGTAGTACCTCTTTCCAGAAAATCCACCAGGAGAATGCCCTCACTGCCCAAAAGACCGTGGCGATGATCTTCCATTGAGAAATAGTGCGCTTAACTGCTGCAAGCAGGAGGCGGCGGGAAATTCATCGAGCCGGTCGCGAAAAAATGCAATTTCTGAGCGATTGGTTAGTCAAAAAATAAAAACCGATAAACCGTTAGCAAGCCGAGAGTATAAGTTTTTCAGCCATATATTTACCATTTTTGTAGCTTTTATAATTCTTGAGAAAAAAAAATAGGGAAACTTACTCTCCGAACGACCCTTGTAAAATTTAGCGGTCTTTAATTTCGAAAATATGCATGTTTCCGCTAGGACACGGTTTTCTTGCAGAAAAAAACTATTCTTGATCTCAGGGCGAGCTGATCAGTGGCAAAAGATGAAAACTCAATTTTTTGGTAAAAACGTTACCGGCGTTAGTTCTAATAATGCTCCGATCGATCTGTAACTTAGCAGAGATTTTTTTAATTGCAACAAAACCTGAATGTCAGTCAATTTTTTAACGTACCTTTTTAGAAAAAAGTGTTTCCTTCATATTTAGGCCATAAAAATAGGAGTAGATCATAATTACATGCTGATAAAAGACCTGGAACAAGAATTTCCCCTATTTCAAGTTTTCGCCCAATTACTTTCAATTCTATTTCCAACATTCATTGCTAATACACTGCAGGGCCATCTCGTCATTTTGCTTGATCAATCTAGGGGAAACGGGGTGAAGAGTAAGCTACTCCCCCATTTCTGGGCTTCCCAATTGAATTTAAAAATTGACGAAGTCAGGGTATATTAGTCATCCTATGAGAACTCAATACCCGAAGTTTGAACTCTAACACTGAAATAAAAAGTATATAATCTAAATTTTTTTATTGTTTTTTACGCCTCTTTTTACCATTTGCCTCATGCATTAGGAAAATATAACAGGGTATTGAGAGTCTTCTACTGTCGGACTCAGATCACCATTTGAAATTTCAGGCCAATCGGATAAAATTTGCATAAGTTAAATGTGTTTCGACCATGGGAAGTTTACAAATTTAAATTCAAAAACTAAGTTTTAAATTTATTAAAAAAAAAAAAAAAAAAAAAAAAAAAAAAAATTAGACTCAAATCTAGTCCGAATACTGTACAACGAAGTTGAACATTAAAAACTTGCTTCAGCAGTAAACATTTTGGCTTTGAAATCTGTATCACAAGGACAGTTCCGAATTGCCACCAAAAAATGTGGAATTTCTTACTGCTCCTGACTTTAATCATATTGACATGTTTCTTTTGGTTAGTGCTTTTCTATTAAGTGGGCATTTTTTTTCTGTGAAAGATTTTGGACTACAAAAGATCAGTTATTGACATTTTTTAGCAACAGGCATTATTTCGGCTGTGGTGGAGTGTTTTTAATCTAGAATGAAATAGTCACATCAGAAAAACTCCAATTGAGTTCAGAAAATAAACATTTCAGGAGCCCGTGGCTTTAACGTCTCCAGCTTCGACCGCTAGCTCTTTTTGTACCATTAAGCTTAGGTAGATCCATCATAAAAAATCACCACCTCATCACTTGATATAATTGTTTCAAGTATTTTCAGCGAGCTCAGAAGTAAAACGAGGCTTAAATGAAAAAGGTCATCTGAATTCAAACTCACCGTACACTCCTCACCGTACATACTTCCTTGCACTCATTCGCACACTCATTTAGGAGCGTAGAGCATCATGGTAATTTCCCTTCCTTCTCACACTTTTAGACACAAGCGCTCTGTCCTAATGTCTTCGGTTACAGCCTAGGTGGGAAATAAACTTAGTGGTAGAATTTTTAATTTAGCTTACGAGGATGATGGGGAGAGTCAAGAAAAAATAAGTTTTTGGCAAAATTCAATTTTTCTACTAACAAGTTTAAGCAGGAATCCGGGGTGAGTTGATGCAATGATTTAGAAAATATTCAGCTCATTTAAAGCTGCTTGTCAAGACCTGTCAATTTTTCTGGAAAAATTCAGGAAGCTCTTATTAGTACTCAGTTTGGATAGGAAAAACCCTCTGTTTTATTTGGTAATTTTTTTATTTGGCCGGGGGTAGGGTTTTTTGGGAAAATGACCCTTTCTTTGGAAGTTCGAAACGCCAGTTTCTTGAAAATTCTTAAAATTTCAAAAATTCATAGCTCAGTGAGTTTTTCGATTTGAGACCTAACATTGTGCAGAAGTTCATTATTTGGTGGTCTGATCAAGAAAAAAATGTATTAGCAAAATCCGAGTCGGGCGGTTGCATGACTGGTAGGTTTCATTTGGAATGACCCAGAATCGTTTTTTGATGCTTGATTCTTGTAGATTAGCTTAAAATAATCTTTCCAAGCAGCAACTTCCTTTATTCATTATTTATTGAGATATCGCACCTAGAAAAGTCGGAATTTTGACGTCATCAACCGAGGTACACCCTTTGTTTCTTCTTCTTTCGTTTGATCAGTGATGCAGAGGGCAAACCTCAACGACGTTAAACGTAAACAAACTGAGGTGAACTGTCTGACCGCCTAATTTCTTCGCGGCGAGTGCGTTTTCTCCTGATAAGAAGATCTTTGAAGTGCGAATCCGTCTGTTTGTTGAGTTTACGTTGAACGTCGTTGAAGTTTCGCGTTGCGCCCTCTGCATCACTGATCAAACGAAAGAGGAAGAAACGAAGGGTGTACCGCGGTGGATGACGTCAAAAACCTGACTTTTCAAAGTGTGATATCTCTGGTAGAGAGTTACTGTTTGGACCGATCTTATCATTTTTAGTTAAACTACAAGGATCAAGTACGGAACACAATTTTGTGACCAGCGTAACTGACCCATTGCAGAGCATACATTTACATGGGTCATCCACAAAGTAAGGTTCCCTACCTTGTATCTTCCGAGCAAAAAGAGGTAAATCAAAGCGGTAAAATGGGTCTTATTTGATATACTCTCCGCTTTGAAACAAGCTCAAGTTTTTGAAAATCAGTAGAGGAATTGACGAGAAAACTTAATTTTACTGGGACAACCTTCTGTTGCCGCGTGCCTACCTTTGGGGTCCGAATGCGCTGAGAGTCGATTATATTTCAGACTCGGGTTGTGGCCTCTAAATATCACATCAAAAGGGAATTTAAAAGTTCTCATCAAGTAGGCATTACCTTACTTTTTGACGTAGTCTCAACATCCTTTTTGACATTTCTAGTATCATTACAGCAGCTTTTTGATGCCTTCCGCGTAGAAGCTCTCGCCGTGGCACCGAAACCAGTCATTCAAAGTGATCTGCACCTCTGAATCTGTTGGAAACCTCTATACACCTAAAGAGTTTTTCAGCTCGGGAAGAAATTAAAGCCACACGAGGCAAAATTAAGAGGGTACGGAGGATGGAGGGTTAAATCTCCTACGCAAAGCAATTGATTTGAAAGTGCTTATCGTTTTGAATGACTGGTTTCGGAGCCAAGGCGAGAGCTTCGACATAGAAGCGCTAGAAGCTCTCCCCTTGACTCCGAAACCAGAAAGTGGGCACGCAGTGACAGAAGGTTGTTCCAGTAAAATTAAGTTTTCTCGTGAATCCCTCGACTGGTTTTCAAAAACTTGAGCTTTTTTCAAAGCTTGGAGTATACCGAATAAGACCTTTTTTACCGATTTGATTTACCTCTTTTTGCTTGGAAGATACAAGGTAGGTAACCTTACTTTTTGGATGACGCTGGTACATACAGACCTAAATGCTTCAATACGTCTTCTTATTTTTTTCCTGCTAGTTCGGTTTTAAGCAGCTAGAAATGAGCGTGTGACAGCTTGAAATGTTCTGTTCTCCAAGTGTTTCTAAAATTTAAGCCCCAATTACCCACGGTTTCAGTTTTTACTGCTCTGTGATCCTTTTTCAGGCTATGTAAGTAACTTCCGCATCTTAGTGGATGGAGCTTTAATACATAATTTAGCACTTACTCGTGTTTTCAATTTTGGTTTCAGTCGGGAAGACTTCGCTTATTACGAGATTCATGTATGATAGTTTTGATAACACGTATCAAGCAACAATAGGAATAGACTTTTTATCAAAAACAATGTATTTAGAAGATAGAACAGTAAGTATACTTAATTTAGCCAGTTTAAATTTGCTGCTATCATTTCTGAAATTTTTCCTCTCATTCTACAAGGTTTCTGTTGGGAGGATCTGCTTATCGTCATTAATGTAAACTTCGAAGAATTCCACCTTTCAGACAGTTCCACCTTTTTCTATTTCACTCGAGGGGTTGCCAGATTGTGCGGTAAATGTGATCATTTTACATGGGTTTGAACCGGGAACAGTGCTGAAAAAGCAACTTATCTGGCAATAGTGGGGTCCGGGAGGGAAGAGAGGCTGCCTTCCTGGGAAAACCCATGATTTAGCGCGAAACGTCATCAAAACAAATTGGTCCGTTTGAAGTATCAAATGTATACTAGGGAAAGCTATTTTATAATAATAATTGATAATGGACACAGATGCTACAAAAAAGGGGAAAAAAGAAAGGGATAGGAAATGAAATGAGGATACAATTAATTACACCATGAGAAAGAATAAATGAGTATCGTAACTTACGGGAGTGAGGTCTGGCAACTCAAGAAAAGAACTGAAGACATGCTTAGGGCAACTGAGATGGACTTTTGGCGGAGGTCTGCTGGCATCTCAAGAAGAGAGCGTATCCGCAATGTAAAAGTACGCGAGATAATGGGTGTGGAGAAGGACATCGTGCTCGATATCAGGTCCAATCAGTTGGTCTGGTATGGACATGTGCGAAGGATGGCAGACGACCGGTTGCCCAAGCAGGTCTTCGATTGGGTTCCTCCCGGAAGGCGACGGCGTGGACGTCCTGTGAAAGGTTGGCGACAAGGGGTGGAGGAGGAGATCAGAAGGTGCCAATTGCCTGATGATCTCTGGGAGGATAGGGGGCAATGGCGATTGGGCGTCGCAGAGCGCGAGGCGGCGCTATAAAAGCGACTTTATGTATGTAGAAAGAATAAAACATCGTCATCAATATAAACTTCGAAGGATTCCACCTTTCAGACAGTTCCACCTTTTTCTATTCCACTCGAGGGTTTGCCAGATTGTGCGATAAATGTGAACATTTTACATGGGTTTGAACCGAGAACAGTGCTGGAAAAGCAACTTATCTGGCAATAGTGGAGTCAGGGAGGGAAGAGAGGCTGCCTTCCTGGGAAAACCCATGATTTAGCGGGAAACGTCATCAAAACAAATTGGTCCGTTTGAAGTATCAAATGTATATTAGGGAAAGCTATTTTATAACAACTGGTACTGGTCCTCTCTTCAGGGGGTCATTTTTGGGCCTTGGATAGTCCGATTTTGGATTTTTAGGGGTCAATTCCACGTGAAATTTTTCGTGCATTTCAAATCTGATGCGATCTATCCGCAATTCGGTCGGGAACCGTGACTTTTAGCATCGTGACCCCCCCTTTACCCCCCAAGGGGAGGTGGGGGGGGTTTCGGGACCACGAAATTCGGATTTCTTGGGGTCAATTCCCTATTCAACCCCGCGGTCTCCGACTTCGTATGACCTAAACCAACCGAGAAAAAGGCCTGGTACGGGTGGTCTGAAACACCCTGTATACATTTTGGAGACTCTCAAGGCAAAAAAGATTCTGTCACAGAACCTTGATACCGGAGCGTGCCGTCATTTGCACATTAATAAATCTGTGGAGATGAAGCAATGATGGGGATCGATCATTTCTTCAAAAACGCATTTCAGTGGGACGTCAGTCCCATCGGGTGAAGGAAAATGACAACCGTAGATCTCCTTCCGCGATTTAACTCCCTGAAGTAGCAAAAGTTCATCTTTACTTCCTGAGAAAATGGAGTTCAATAGAAAAATGTAACAATATCAAAGTGAAGAAGACGCCCAGGAAAGGGCAATAAGGGGCTTTAAAAGGAACAAGGGCGCTCCAAATTACTGAGGACCTACGGGAGGACAAGGAACTATGGCGGTTAGGCGTCGCGGGGCACGAGAGACCGCTGTTTAAGCGGCTCTCATCTATGTATGTAACAATACAATAGTTAGTCGTTACACTATGTGTAATTCATATTTTCTTAAGAAATATTCATTCCGTCGGAAAACAAGAAACTTAGGACAAAAAGCGCCAATTTTGGTGCTGCTTGTCGCGCCTTTAATTTTGCCGTGAGCAGAAAAAATTTGACTCAGTTTGTAGAAAGTTTATGTATTTATTTATTTATTTATAAAATACACGGACAAAGTGCATTAACAAAATTACAACAATAAAAACAAGAACAGCAAATAAAACAGCAGATTATTAAGTTGACCTCGTTAATGAATTTTAAAAGCATCCATAATCACTTTATCGAATAATGATAATCACTTCAAAGCAAGCAATATTGGAATTTATCACCACGCATTTTTGTTTTTGTTTTTGAACAAAACAATAAGTGCGAAACGGAATGAACCGGAACGGACCGGGGACTGATAACTGAATCCTCTTCATTGGTCGAACTGAAATCGATTTACTATCGATTGATCGATATTTCATGCGAGATCAAATTAGAAGATTTCGATTTATCGATACATCGATGCTCCCGATCCTTCAAAATTTTGCAAAGCGAATAATTTTTTTCAGTAAAACTTGTGAAAGTTCAAATTGCGGAAAGGCACAACGGGAATCCATAACGCGTCGATTCATATACATATGGTGTTAAAGGGTTTTGTTGAGCCGCTAAAGAGCTTTGCCGGCTTAACTGAACATTTTAGCCCGAAAAATGCGATATTCAGTTGATTTTCATATTTATACACTCTGACGAGGCCAGTATTTTACGTGTACATCTGACGCCTTGAGTATTACGTGATACATCCAATCATACTCTTAGCTCCGTATTGTTTCTTAATTGCCGTCTCGTGCTTTTGTCGAGGGCTGCAATGCGTGCAGCTTTTGAAGGTGACGGCGTGGGTAAGAAGTAATTTTGCGAAAGGTACACAAAGGGTTCAAAATGAGGTCAATAATATAAATCAAGCGTAAAAACGTGGAATATTTTTTTTTTTTTTTTTGCTTTGAAAGCGGGGAGAAAACCGAGTTCCGGCAACTACTGCTCGCATGTGCCAGTCCCACCCCCCTACAGCCGTAATCAGGCATTTGAGGCGCCTCATGAGGTTATGACGTACAGCATCGACTCGTTGCTTCAGCATTAATGCCGTATGCCCAGGTAGCGGCCGTGCGGGCATGCGGCGCCGCGCCTCATGCGCGCAACCTGCCGGCGCCGGCTTCGGGCATTGAAGCTCAATGCTGGCGTGCCGACCGAGCCAGCATTAAGCGCTGATGCTGAGGTTTGATGCTGGCTCAGGGATCGACATGGGATTCAACTTTTGAGGCCGGACCCTCGGTTCGCGGCCCAATACAGCATCAATTTTCGGCCCCTCCACCCAGCTTCATTACCGACGGGACTGTCCCAGAAGACCGCCGGGGTATGCGACCCTTGAACATGGCGATGAATTCGCGGAACACCCCTTCGTGAGCCCGGTGCGATTAGCCGACCGGCAACCGGGCCCGGGGCGCTGGCGTCCGACGTGTCTGCTAATTTAATCGGCTCGTACGAAAACCGCTGATGTCCATTTTTTTCAATTTTGAGATTTTTGGGTTAAAACAGGTACTCTCGGAGGTCAGACACGCTCATTAATGTAGTGAAAATGTTTGTTCCTTAGGTTTGAAGTCCCTTTCAGGGGGGG